ATATATACAGGGTGTCCCAAAATAATGTATACACTCTTTGAATCGTTATAACTTATTCATTTTATGTATTTCGACTTGTAAATAAGAATAATACAAGAGAAAGAATACACATTTAAAGAATTTGAGAGTAAAATATACAAAAAACATATAAAATTACCTTTAATAAGATAAAAGCTACTTGGGTCAATGGCAGAATGTTCATATAATGATGAGTTCACATCAAGTGCTCAAACTGGTTGCCGTTCTGTTCAATACACTTTTCATATCTTGAAGAAATAGACCTACAAACGTCCAGTATCATTTCCTCTGGTATTTGAGCACATTGTTCTTCAATTGCTATAGGTTTCCTGCTGTAAACTTTGTCTTTTAGAAACCCCCACAAAAAGAAATCCAAGGGTGTCAAATCTGGTGATCTAGGTGGGTATTCAGCTGTCCCTCTTCTTCCAATCCATCTCTTTTGCATATTTTCATCCATATAAGTTCTCATATCATGGTAATGTATTATTAACTATTAATATTTAAAAAGTGTATGCATTATTTTGGGACACCTATATATATATATATATATATATATATATATATATATATATATATATATATATATAAGGGAGAGTTTATAGCTGTTCCAATGCAAGAAAAGTGTATATTTTAAATAGAAGAGAGAAATCGTAAATGTTTTGGGCTATATCGTGGACTTTTCAAAATATATATTACACTTTATTTTCTTTATGGAATTTGAGGTTTCTCTCTTCTCTTTAAAATATATATATATATATATATATATATATATATATATATATATATATCAGAAAATTTTAACCCACATGTATTCTTTATATCTTCACCACCACGGTCCACTACATATAGTTTGATACTTATGGATGTTAACTCTTCAGTACTTTCAATAAGGTATACAATATTGATATATATATTACCAATATATAGATATATTTTATTAATCTGCCAGATTTTTATCGCATTAAACATTATTTTTAGTGGAGTCTACCAGCCTGAATGTTTGAGAAGTTTTATTAAAGAAAAATTAGAGCTCTCCAGCAGGAATTGAACCTGAGTTTCTCAGTGAAGAGGGAGCTACCAATTAGCCCAGCACCCCTTATTACCTTGGCCATGGAGAACTGCCGGTCAGGTGAAGCAAAATTTTGTGCTTTCAAGCGAAATTTCTTGTCAAAGATCTCTTGAAAATTTTCATACCTACACAGTTTTGTATTGAAATGTTAACAAAAAGATTTTTAGAATGGATTTTTATTAATTTGACAGATTTTTATCACTTTAAACGTTATTTTAGCGGAGTGATAAAAATTTGTCGGATTAACAAAAAATATATTCTAAAATTCTCTTTGTAGCTTGGTTTAAGGATCCGTATTTTATCACACACACACACACACATATATATATATATATATAGTCATCCACAGACAGGCTGTTTCGCTGTATCACAGCACTTCAGTGTGGCTAGACGTCTGATTGCTTCAAGCCGGGATAGAAACTCAACTAATTTGACATCAGTCAGATATATAACCTCCAGACCATTCTCACATGGCAGAAAGGAAGGGAATTTTAATGTTTTTCTGTATACGAAAATATTCCAGCAGCTTGGAGAACTCAATTCAATTTACTTGAAGAGTAATGCTTAATTGCAGTAGGAGCCCCCTTTATCTAGAGACCTAAACCAAATTTCTGGGAGCATATATATATATATATATATATATTCATCCACAGACAGACTTTTTTATTGTATCACAGCTCTTCAGTGTGGCTAGACATCTGATTACTTCAAGCCGGGATCAAAACCTGACTGATTTGACATCAGTCAGATATCTTACCTATATATATATATATATATATATATATATATATATATATATATACACATGTTTGGTTAAATAATATGGACAAGTTCTGTCTCTGCCTCTTAATTGTTGTTGTTCCCAGCTCCATCATGACCCAGGGTGGTTAGGCTACCAGCTATGTGAATCCCCAAATTGGTGTCAAAACATTACTGGACTCTCATTTTCAACATATGAAGTCAAGCAACTCAGTTCCTAGGAACCGACAGCCAGACACCTACACATATGATTTGATTATAGTGTTGGAGGCTTTGTGCAGAACCAACCATACTTTTTGAAGGGCCAAATAAAGAGATTTTGTGCACTATGTGCAACAAGGTCCCCAAACAACCCTCTGCAGGTTTTGAATTCAGAGTTGTCCTTCTCCTAGACCAGTTGCCATTCAAGGCTATAGAAACCTATCTGTCCTGCTATTTACCCATAGCTGGAGGAAGAAGAAGATTAATACATTTCCCAAGGATATTAGCACATAAGCAAATGTAATGGATTTGCCTGGAATTTGAACTCAGCTCTCTGATTCTTCAATCTGAGCCACCATCCATTAATCCACCATGCCTCAAAACATTATGAAAGCATAAAAATACATTTTTGTAGTAAAAATACTAGCAATACACTCTCATAGTAAAAAAACAAAAAATATCAGCAGTACATTATTAGAAAAGGAAGAGAAAAATTACCAGAAATACATTTTTTTTAAAAAAAAAGTTACCAAAACTTCTCCAAAAATTAAATTTCGATATTAAATGACCTATAAGGAGTTGATGTGCCGTTAAACAAATTAAACCAAATTCTGTCTCAGTTATTCATGTAATCCTAAACTCCTGTTTAAAAGACTGGGAAGGAGTGTGAACCGGATGATAGGTGATTCTCTCTATCTCTCCCTGTTGGTGGAGGAAAGAAAAAAAAATAAAAGAAATAAATAGTGAATAAAACTTTAGAGATCAGGTGCAGATACTGAAGCAAACTTTAGAAGGAAAGTAAATATTTTGCAAATAAAATGTATTTCCTGTTACATAGAATTTCTATTTGTGCTTGTGTGGGCCTAAATATTTTTTGACACCAAAAATGGGTCACAAGTAAGAAAAGAGAGACACTTGTCTAGGGTACCATAACTCATGCTAATAAAAAATGGCAAACATGGACCTTTGTACTTGCAAAAAACAGTGTTTCAAAAGGACGGTTTTTCCATTGACACTGCTATTATTTTCACTCCATTCACTCTCACAATGTTTACAACGTAGGAATATTATTATTGTTACAAATAAATGAAATAATAATAATAATGAAAATTATAAATAAAATAAAATAAAACAATAATGTTTAAACCTTGTTTAAAATAAATAAAAATAAAAATAATAAAATTACTCCCAGCATGCAACAAAAACTGTTCCGGCTGTAAGTACAGACATCCCGCCAAAAGACATGAGATTCAATCTCTATGTCCAAGAGCAGTCGGGATGACAATACATGTGTAACTTCCCTCTGTGATAGGACATGTAATATTGGAGAATAACATACTCCCTTTTATAACATGAACATTATCACAATTGTAATGTAAAATACACAATACAAATACATAAATAAAATTGTATGAAATTACCATACAATTTGTCATACCTTCATTGTATTGTGTACATTTATTTTTCTTGTTTTTATTTTTGTAAAAACAAGTCTAAAATTCTACTGCCATTACTCCTTTGATGTGAGTGAATCCTCCCAAACAATATTATAAAAAATTATTTACATTTTATAAAGATTTATTATTTATCATTTTATAAAGAAATAAATGTGAAAAGAAATCTTTTTATTCAAAATTAAAAAAAGAAAATTACAAAATTATCAAAATATATAAACCAACTACAATGCAATAAATTTTAAAATATCAACTAATTTCCAATTACATTACAATATATTAAACAATACACAGACAAAACAATAATGATAGTCTGTTTTTGTTTATAGTTATGTTGTTCTGGAATTGTCATCAATGATCAACTGAACTTGTTTTGTTTCAATAAATTGTTTTTTATTGTTGGAAAACAAAAAAAAAATTCCAATTTTACCTATCTTCGTTCCCTTGGCAACGCTTATTGTTTTAAAAAGCGATGATCAGAATTTTAATAAAATGCAAACATATGAAACTGAATTTTTCATTTTCTTTGAGAATTTACAACAAAATATTTAAATGCTATTTATTTATTAGATTGTTTATTTACATGTAAGAAGGGGGGGTAACCTATAATTGCTGGAGTTTCAGGCCTTGGATTTCAAGCTCATGATATAAAAAAATTTGGAAAATATTGGATATAAACATATCTGAGATATGAAATAACCCGAGAAGAAAATGTATTATGTCCTGAAAAATCATGTTTATTTAAATTTTATTGTTCATAGATATTTTTTTATAAAATTATGCATTAAAAAATTACTTGTTTTCATAATTATCTATTTATAAAATGGCAAATAACAAATATTGTGTTGTAGTTTGTTTACATATTTTGATTATTTTATAGAGTTTTATAAATTTTTGAGAACATTATATTGGCTTGGCAATAATAGATATGATTTCTTAATTAAAATTTTATTAAACAACATATTCGCTCATATCCACTGTCTTCTGAATTCTGTCCTCCACAGAAATTTTTCATTCTCACCAAATAATTGTTTGGCATGTTTTGTCTTTTTTTGCAGTCTGTCAAAGAATAGAATTTTTTTCCATTAAGACAATTATGCAAAATCCCAAATAAATGGTCACCCAAAAGTATAATATATAATGAATATGCCAGATAAGTGAAAACTTCTCAACCAAGCCTATTTATATCTGGGAATATCAGGTGCTGTAAATTTGGATGTGTGGGTGGTGTAATGTATAATGCCTTGGAATTGTTAATTGGAGAGCAGAGTTCCAATTCCAGTTGGATTCATTATATTCACTTATATGTAAATACCCTTGGGAAAGGTATCTACCTCTTCATCCCCACAGCTATGGGTTAAATAATAAGACTTGTATCACTAAATCATTATTATCTAAAAATACATTCTTATAATCTAAAAATATTTTCTAGATTTAGATAACCTGCCATAAAAAATGAATCAATCACTCAATTTATATTTAACTGTTGTCAAAGATTCATGCTAATGCTTGTTTTTAAAATTTTTCTTCTTATTTATCTGCCGACCCTCATATTGTCTTTACTGCCAACCAATGTGACAATGGGAGGTTGACGGAACTAGCCCGCTTGGACGGGTTTAGATGGGTTTTATTTTTGGCTGGGCCTACGGGCTCGGACATACCCACATTAAAAAGGCCTTGTGCCACATTCAATTCCTGTGGGTGAATTGATAAATACCATCAATACATAAGGGTGTTCTGCCTGATCTGCAGATTAGTTTAATTATTTATTCTTTTAAATGTCAGTGTAGTGCTGACTATATTTATTACATTTTATATAAAACTACTTTCTGGGTATATGTTATTTATATAAGACTACTTTCAGGGTATATTTTGAGTCTGTTTAGTACCTAGGTGGGTAACAGCTTGAGAATACCAGGTGCTGTAAGTTTGGATGTGTGGCTGGTGTAATGTATAATGCCTTGGAATTGTTAATTGGAGAGCAGAGTTCCAATTCCAGTTGGATTCATTATATTCACTTATATGCTATGGGTTAATTAATAAGACTTGTATCACTAAATCATTATTATCTAAAAAAAAAATTCTTATAATCTTAAAATACTTATTAAATTTTATATAAAACTACCTTCAGGGTATATGTTATTTATATAAAACTACCTTCAGGATATGTTATTTATATAAAACTACTTTCAGGATATGTTATTCATATAAAACTACTTTCAGGGTATATGTTATTCATATAAAACTACTTTCAGGGTATATGTTATTCATATAAAACTACTTTCAGGGTATATGTTATTTCTATAAAACTACCTTCAGGGTATGTCATTTATATAAAACTGACTTCAGGATATATGTTATTTATATAAAACCTCCTTCAGGATATATGTTATTTATATAAAACTACCTTCAGGGTATATGCTATTTATATAAAACTACCTTCAGGGTATATGTTATTTATATAAAACTACTTTCAGGGTATATGTTATTCATATAAAACTACTTTCAGGGTATATGTTATTTATATAAAACTACTTTCAGGGTATATGTTATTTATATAAAACTACTTTCAGGGTATATGTTATTTATATAAAACTACCTTTATGGTATATGTATAAACTGTGTTATGAAATGTAAAAGGATATTGTGTTTATGCTTGGGTTCAATCCCAAGCTGCCCCATTTTATAGATGCTATATACAAATTAAATAGCCTGTATTCCAAAAACTAAAGCACTTCCGATCCCAAGAATTTCAGATAAAGGATTTTCAACCTGTATAATGAAATCTTTATTCTTCACCAAATTATAAAGAAATAAATATGAAAACAATTTTTTTTATTCATAAATTTATAAAACTTTATTAAATTATAAAAATATGTGAACCAAGTACAGGTTGAATATCCTTTATCTGAAATTCCAAAATCTAAAAGTTTTTCAGGGTCTGACTTGACTTGCCACAAATGGAAAATTTCAGAAAGCTCTGGGAAGGTTCCTAGATGATGTACTGCTGTTGTAAGTGACCCTCATCTGCCCTGGGTGACGGTTTCCCAACCCAGCTATGTAGCCTACCATTTTTATTAGCAATCATCACAGCAACATCTTCATTCATGGATTACTTACCAAATTTTTTGTATTCAGTTAAGATATTATTCAAAATGTCAAAAAGTCCTGCATTTATATATTTTTTGTAAGTAGTAATCATGTTTTTTGTACACATACAAAAAGTACAAAACATTATTTTTATGTGAAATTTTAATTTCACCACTTAAAAATCCGTTTGAGTATTACATGACTAGTGTCATTACCTGTATCTATATGTATGCAAAATTTATTAAATTTTATATAAAACTACTTTAGGGTATGTTATTTATGTAAAACTATCTTTATGATATATGTATAAACTGTTTTATGAAATGTAAAAGGATATTGTGTTTATGCTTGGGTTCCATTCCCAAGCAGCACCATTTTATAGATGCTATGTTCAAATTAATTAACCTGTATTCCAGAATCAGAAAAAAATCTGAAAACTGAACACTTCTGGTCCCAAGGATTCGGATAAATGATTCTCAACCTGTATAATGAAATTTTTATCATTTCCCATTTTATAAAGTTTGAATCGATTGGCAATTAGTTGATCCTAGATCACAATTCTAAAAAAAAAAAAACCAAAAAAACTACTTTCTGGGTATGTTATTTATATAAGACTACTTTCAGGGTATATGTTGAGCCTGTTTAGTACCTAGGTGGGTGACTGCTTTAGAATACCAGGTGCTGTAAGCTTGGATGTGTGTGTGGTGTAAAGTTTGAATCGATTGGCAATTAGTTGATCCTAGATCATAATTAGTAAAAAAATTGGAAAATTAAAACAAGAATTAATTTGTGATATAAAAAAATTTGAGAAGAAAATATACAATGTTTCAAAAAATTATGTTTATTTAAATTTTCTTGTTCTTAGATATTTTTTATAAAATTATGAATAAAAAATTGTTTTCATAATTATCTATTTATAAAATGGTAAGTAACAAATATTGCATTATAGTTGGTTTATATATTCTTATGATTTTGTTGATTTTTATAAAATATCACAAAACATTTTTGATTTATTTAAAATGGAATCATCTGTTATGACATGTGTCGGAGTTACCTCCTCCTTGGCTCCTTAAAACCTGAAAAGAAACTCGGTTGTGCTCCCTACACGCTGTTAACCTGTGGTAGAGACTAGCAAGTTACCTTTTTAGTTTAGTTATATTACAAACCTAGCTGTAATATACTTCTAGACATTTTTAGGCCATAGTTTTCTTTTAGCTAAGCTCTACTCATTTTTTTATAGAGACTTTATTGTGTTAGTCTCACCAATTCTCTTGCTAGTCTCCCTTACCAGAAGACAGTGACTCCTCGCTAAATTTAGGGTCGGGACGGCTCGTCTCGCTCCCGAAAAGCTTGTGCCCATGGATCGCGCAGACGCATATGACAATGTGTCGCCCCCGTATTCCGGGGTGAAATGGATGGTGTTTCTCACGCTGCTAGCCACGGCCCGAATGGTGATATGGACGAGAGAGAAGGAAGTCTTCTTGAGGGGTAACCGTCTTTCTCATCAGGATCTGATCCGATTCTTTGAGCATCAGCTCAAGGCGAAGATTAGAACTGATAGAAAACGCTTGCATTCGACAGTCTTCAGCGAAAGGTGGGTGACTGAGGCGAGCTTGGTTTGTGTGAACGGGGCTAGCCTTGATTTTCTCTTTTAGATCAAGCCTACGTTACATCGGGGTGGCTTCCTGTGGTGCCCTCCCCTTGGTTAGGTTAGACAAGCTTTGGTGTACCTAGTTAATGCACGAGTAAGTGTTGTTTCGGCCTGCCCCCGGCCACATCTTTTAGTTATGATCCAGCCTGAGATTCCCAACCTCCCCAGTTTGTTTTTTGGCCCCCCCACTTTCTATCTTGACTGGGTCAGCCTTATACTTCCCCATGATTTTTTATCACCTTTCCCACTCCCTTAGTGAGAGAGCTGCTTGATTTTGTTCCAATGGGCAGAATACAGTGACCTCCCTGCCTTTTGAGGGTTGGACGGGCCCTACTAACATCAGTTAACGTTTAATTTCATTTATGTTAATATTTTAGTTCATTATTGGGCTCATCTCCCCACCTCATCTTTTCATTTTAGAATTTTGTACATATGTGTTAGGATCATTAAATCATTATGACACGGGGCGCGTTTTGTAGGTCTCCCTAGAGTGAATGTGGTATTATGGTGCATGGAGGATCGATTGGTGACGGACGAGTTCTTATGGTGAATGAGTAAATTGTAATGTCTGAATGGGTCGTGAATCAAATTAGCTAGGTATAAGATAGTTAGTGAAGACCAGCCTTTTACCCCCTCCCCCTTTTCGGCCTTGTGCCACAATTTTGTATTTTTACAAAATAAATCCCGGTCGGCGACTGAAACGGTCGGATACGCAGGCTCCTGGCCTCTAGCCAGGAATGTCAACCACCAGGCTGTGTATTAAGTTACGCTCCCATTTATTTTTGTCTGCAAACTTGACGATAGTTGGAAACTTTCCTTTCTCTCTCTCCTTCGCCTACTACTCCTGGCTCCTTGGCCCCGTTCGACTCTCAGCATTCCGTCCCTACTGGCTGCCTGCACGTCGTCCTTAACCTTTCCCGTACACTATGTTAGTAATTATTACGGGAGGTTACTAATATCGGACTGGACCGGCAAACACGCAACGCCTGCACAGGACCTTTGACATGCCCGAACAACGCCAGCTCTTCTTTCCTTCCTGACACGTCAAGTTGGCAGCCCAGCCACGACCAACATCAACTGCAACAACCAACAGAGATCATCTGCAACGACTAGCAGCGACCACTTGCATGACCAGCAGCGATCAGCTGTAACGCGGCAACGACCAACTTCAACTACAGCGATCATCTCTGCAGCGATCACCTGTAACGACCAACCTCGACCATCAATGCCTGCACCGGAACATCTGCATCTCTACTCTTCTCACCACCTTTATTTCTTTTCTAGAATAAATTAGCATATATCATATATCTCCTCATTCTGTCGTCTATGTTGTTTCACCTTGTCAGATTTAACGTCTTCAAAAATGCTAGTGGGCCTCTCGTGACCTCATTCACCCTTGTGTGATACGGGGGCACTCGGGGGGTCCGCTACACATGTATTTGTATTTATTTTCAGTTTTTCTACTTGAATTGTTCGCCTATATTACATATTGTCTGTTATTGTACATAATTAAGTTACAATTAAAATTTGTATTTAATTACATTATTTATATTGTTTAGACTGTTGTCCTCATCTTTATTGCCATATTCGTGATGTTTTGGCCATTGTATGCTCCTGCCTTCTTTAGGTGATTGGAATTTCAAACTGAACCCTTTATTTCATCCACGGGGGATAGATTGTTCTAGTTCCACGTGCCATGCCTCTTCCAGATGTCTCAGCTATCTCCCTTTAACTCAACTCATCGAAAATAATGAAATAAAGGGTTCAGTTCGAAATTCCCATTGCATGAAGAAGGCCGGAGTTTTATAATTTTGAAGTTTTTTAAAAAATTTGTGAATAAAAAGATTTCTTTACACATTTATTTCTTTATTGTTTGTTTTGCTTGCTTAACAGCATCTCATTTAATGCTGAAATTTAATTTTCTTGAGAACTTTGAATTAATAAAAATACATTATTCTGCTTTCACAGTTGAATACATGGTAGATGATACTCAGCTTTTGTGCACATACATGTTTGTATGGACGTGATTACTAGAAGCAGTGATATGTGTGTTTTATGTTGTAGTTTTGTTAAAGTTATATTTTTGAATACAGTTTGATCTCTTTAAGAAATTGTAGGATATTATATGGATTAATATCATGAAAGAGTTCTTTCCTGTTGGTTGATTTTGTTTAGTGGCATATCAACCTCTGGGTTATTTAATGCCAAAATCTAAATATTTTGTATGCAATTGCATGCCTTTAACTACAGATAAAATGTATTGTTGGTAATTTTACTATAAAATGGATAGCTGGTTATTTTTCTATGAACAGGTATTGTTGGTAATTTTACTATAAAAATGTATTTTTATCCTTTCATAGTGTTCCATTTTTCTTTGCCCATAGCCAGGACCCTAACTTTCTCTCACTCTCTCTCCTTTGCTCTCTTTCTCTCACTCTCTCTCTCTTGTTCTCTTTCTCTTACTCTCTTTCTTGCTCTCTTTTCCTCACTCTCTTTCTCTCTTGCTCTCACTCTCTCTCTTTCACTCACTCTCTCTCTTGCTCTCTTTCTCTCACTCTCTCTCTCTCTTGTTCTCTTTCTCTTACTCTCTTTCTTGCTCTCTTTTCCTCACTCTCTTTCTCTCTTGCTCTCACTCTCTCTCTTTCACTCACTCTCTCTCTTGTTCTCTTTCTCTCACTCTCTCTCTCTCTTGTTCTCTTTCTCTCACTCTCTCTCTCTTGTTCTCTTTCCCTCACTCTCTTTCTCTCAATTTCTCTCTCTTTCCCTCACTCTCTCTTGTTCTCTTTCTCTCACTCTCTTTCTCTCTTGCCCTCACTCTCTCTTGCTTTCTCTTGCTCTCTTTTCCTCTCTCTCTCTCTTGCTCTCTTTCTCTCACTCTCTCTCTTTCCCTCACTCTCTCTCTCTTGTTCTCTTTCTCTCATTCTCTTTCTCTTGCTCTCACTCTCTCTCTCACACTCTCTTTCCCTCACTCTCTCTCTTGTTCTCTTTCTCTTGCTCTCTCTCTCTCTTGCTCTCTTTCCCTCACTCTCTCTTGCTCTCTTTCTTTCACTCTCTCTCTCTTGCTCTCACTCTCTCTCTCTTGCCCTCACTAAAAACCACTCCAATATCTATTTCCAAAAGTCATGGCAATTCACAAATGATATAGATGTTGCACTGTGATGTTTTATGACACATGATAAATACTCAACTTCTTTTTATAATTTCTGAAATTTCAATGAAAGTCAAATTCAACAATTGTCTGACGTGTGCTATAGCAGAAATTTTCATTATAGCTTCACAACCTGCCGAAGCTAGAAAGAGGTCAGTTATTTCATTTTCTCCTTCTTTTGCCTGGTCATCTTTCAATTTTTTAACCCTAGCCTGGGCTGCAAAACACCTCAACAAATTCTGGTTCATCCAAGCAACTTAAACATCTTATTGGCAATGGCATAATAGAAAAGGGTTTTGTGGAGAGCCTTGACTGGCTACATTCTAGTCTACCTTGCTATTAAATGCTCTGGGATAGCATTTAATTAAATATAATGGGTTAAATAGATGGGTAGACTAGGAATTTTATCCTTGGTTGGCAGCCAGTCTAAAAGAAAGAAAGCTCTGAATTCAAAACCATGGAGAAGGCAACAGGACACACCAATATCTATTCACAAATATTAGAGAAAGGAATCTGTGAAGACCAATGATTACCTACTTTCTGAAGAGATTTTTTTTAATCTTATTACTCTATGTAAGGCAATGAAGCCACTAAGACACAAGAGGTTACTGAGTTTTGAAAAACAAGAAAGAGAAGTGAAGCATTAGGGAGCATGAATACTAGAAGAATAATCAAGACAGAAGATAACGATTGACATTGCATTTAAATTTTTAAAGATCAAAGTTGGCTGGAAAGTGTGGAACTGAAAGAGAGTTCTACAAATTAAAATTGCGAGAAAAGAAACTGTTAGCATAGAACTTACGGTTACATCTAGCCAATTCAACTGTGAAATGATGAGATCTTTCTGCCAATCTAATACTGTGCTTATATTCATAAAGTCTAGGTACCATAGTGAAAAGTTAATCCAAAGAATTGCTATGCAAGTATTTATAGGAAAGTCTACATTATGGCAGTGTGACAGTGATTCAGTGGCGTAGCTAGAGTAAACGTCACCCAGGGCAGTCCGCTCAAATGTCACCCCAATGACCCCGATTCACCCTATGCTGAATGGTTAGCTGTAGCTAAATTTTCATACATGCTCTACCTCTACTTTACTCTACTGACCGGTGCGTTACTGTTTACATGTATGATCAATACCACAAAATAATCAGTTCAAATCAAAAGCTGAAAACATTGCTATTTTTCCTACTCACAAATTTCCCGACAATTTATTAGAAAATTTCTGACGAGGGGACAAAACTGGGGGGTCATAAATTATTTCTGGGGGGTCATATGCCAGTCTGCAAAACCCTGTGTCTCCACCACTGTTTTCAGACTATTTTTGGCACCTTAGCCTGGTTGAAAAATTTTGTTGGGGGTGACATTGTGTCACCCCTCCTGTGCTGGCACCCAAGGCAGTCCCCCCCCCCCGCCTTAGCTACGCCACTGCAGTGATTGAAGCTGAGATATCAGATCAGGACCAATAATATTGCTGATTCTTCATTGGATTTTAGCAAGAATATCTCAAATCAATGACTTCCCCACTTTAAAAGGAAAATGATAATCCCATCCGGCTCCTTTCCATCACTATATTCGAAGCTTACGGGTTCAATTTGCGAGGGAATCCAGCTGCATGCACACCTCTTCTGATGATGTTGTTTATTTCTGCATGCCTTGGTAATCAGCCGGCACTATGACAACAGGAGAGAGGATGCAAACCAAACTCACCAATGGAAGCTCCACACCTGCATCTGTGATGCTCACAGAATTTGAGCTCAAGAAACTATTTTAAAAAATTCGACACAAATTGCTTCTCATCCTTTTGACTTGTTTGGTTGGACTTTCTGTGACGAAAGACATGACTTACCTCAGAATTCGAAACGAGCACGAATGTGTCTTGCCTGCAATGTGATGACAAAAAGAAATATGGTCGCTACTGAAGACGCAATTTATGCGCACGATATTGTCCAAAACGAGACAATATTTGCACACATGCAAATTTTGGCCGTGTTAGAACAGCATAAAAAGTGGGGTGCCAGCAGCATGACTGAATCAGGAGTCATTCGGCAGACTACGTGCAGTAGAGCTGGATGTACGAATTGACAGATGAACAAAGAGGAAGACGAAGTAGTCATGGCTGAGATTGGTGTCTGTTTCACAACTGCCCAGTGTAACGGCTGAGAAAGAGAGTCACGCAATCCATTTCCTGGAGGCGACCGAAGAAGAAAAAAAAAACAGCTGGCCTGCTGGCGAGTACTGCACTTTCTGAACATTGTTTTTTCACCACTTTCTGTTTGATTTTTTTTAAAATCATATCACCCCATGCAAGGCAGTAAAGCCACTAAGACACAAGGGGTTACTGAATGTGGGAGAACAAGAAAGAGAAGAGAAAAGCATTGGGGAGTGAGAAGAATAGAAGACTAATCAAAATGATTGACATTGCATTTAAATTTTTGGAGATCAAAGTTGGCTGAAAAGCATGGAACCAAAAGAGAGTTCCACATACAAGGTGCAAGAAAAGAAACTGTTAGCATAGAACTTACAGCTATATCTAGCCAATTCAACTATTAACTGATAAGACTTTGCTGCCAATCTAGTACTGCCCTCAAATTCATAAAGTCTTGGTACTATAGCAAAGAATTCATCTAAACAGTTACCATGAAAGTATTTATAGAAGCACAGGGAAGCTACATTATGGTGGTGGGAAAATGACTGAAGTTGAGATGCCAGGTCAGGACCAATAACATTGCAGATTCTTCTTTGGATTTTATCAAGAATCTCTAAATATACAGCAGGAGCACTGGACCAGATGTCACAGAACTATTCAAAGTATGGACAAATGGTAGACTTCTAAATATACAAGATAGATTCTGGAGAGAAAAAATTGTCTAGAATGACACAATGACCAAACTTTCTTAGTAGCAGTCCTAGCAATAGATTCAGTAGTTTTTCCACTTCATATCAGCTGAGAATGTTAGACTGAGAAGGCGCAATGAGTCAATCTCATAGAGGTGTAGCATTTAATTAAATTTAATGGGTTTACCCACAGCATAGTTTCACTCTTTAGCTTTGGTTAACAGCCTGTTTAAGTGAAAGAAAGCTCTGTAGCGAAAGAGAAAATCACCTTCCTCGAAAAAGAGCTAGTGTTTTGTGCGTGGTCTGCCAAAGGAGAATTAAAGAAAAAGTAGAAAAAAAAATCTGCTACCTTAAGTATCAGAGAAGCTATACCAAATTTCTTTCCTCCCTGAATGGCATGGCCTGCCAAAGTAGAATTAAAGAAAAAAAGTAGTTAGCAAAAATCTGCTACTTTAAGTATTAGAGAAGCTATACTAATTTTCTTTCCTCCCTGAATGGCATGGTCAATCAGGGAAATCACTCGGCTGTTGTTTTTTTGCTTACCGGGAGAATGATTTTTGAGCTTAGTGGGTGAAATTGCATCTCTGTTGTTGCGAAGTGAATGTTGGAGTTCTGACCCCATTTCTCATAACTACTTTCTTGAACTTTGTGTTGGTACCCAGATTCTTTTTTGGTTCTACTAACTCCTTTGGTTGATACCCAAACAGCTGAGTTAAATTGTCTACAAGTGTCGCAAACGAGAGAGAGACTGAAGAAACTAATTGCAGGCATTAATTGTTACAATAAGTTTACAGTTTCTTTTTATTACAACACAAACTCTATCTTCAAAACAGTGTAGAAAACAATGGAGATTACACTCCAATATTTTCCCCAAAAATTCATGGCGATTGACAAATAATCCAAGAAGAGCCATGATTGCATACATCCTAGAGAGACATAGCATTATTTAAATCTAATGGGTTAAAAACAGCAGTGTGGACATAAAATTTTATCCCTGGTTGGTAGCCAGTCTAAGAGAAAGAAAACTCTGAATTCAAAACCATGAAGAAGGCATCATAAACCCATCCCAATTAATGGCTGAAATGGCAGCATAGCAACACAGATTGAGGAATCGGAGAGCCAAACTTGAATTCCAGTCTACTGATGTGCTAATACCCTTGGGAAAGGTATGAATCCATCTCTTCTCTTCAGATATGGGTAAATAGCAGGATAGAGTAAGCACTATAGCCTTGGTTAGCAACCAGTCCAGGAGATAGAAAACTTAGAATTCAAACCAGCTTCGAGAGGGTTGGACTCTATCAGGCTGTCATGCTGAAGACACACCACTGCTGCTATTGTTGCATTAGATGTGGTACCCCTGCGACCCTAATGGGGTGGTAGCACCTGTTAGAGTCTCAGGTATAGGCAAATAATTAACCCCCAAACTGGGTTCAAAACACTATGAAATTATAAAAATAGGTTTTTATAGTAAAACTACCAGCAATACTTTTTGGAAAAAAAATATTACCATCAATCTATTTCACTCTCAACAAAACTCCTCTTTACAAAAATATATCAATGAAATCTGATCTACAAACTGATTTCTTACAAAGAATACAAATTCTATTCATATGAACCTATGTTAAAAATCTTGTCAGCATTAAATAAACAATTGAGGTTGATATACTGTAAAACAAAATAAACCAAACCTATGACCCTAAGGGGTAACAGGATTTGGGATTCATGGTTTAGTTTATTTTGTTTTATGGTATATCAACACCTCCATGGGTTATTTAATGCTGACAAGATTTTTTAGGATATGTTCGTATGAATAGAATATGTATTCTGTGTAAGAAATCAGTTTGTAAATCAGGTTTGGTTTATTTTGTTTTATGGCATATCAATCTCAATGGATTATTTAATGCCGACAAGATATTTTAGGATATGTTTATATGAATAGAATATGTATTCTGTGTAAGAAATCAGTTTGTAAATCAGGTTTCATTGATGTATTTTTGTAAATTGGGGTTTTGTCAAGAGTCAAATGTATTGCTGGTAATATTTTTTGTTTCAGAAATCTACAGCTGTTTTTTTTTACTATAAAAATTCATTTTTTTATACTTCCATAGTGTTTTGACCCCAGTTTGGGGGTTGATTATTTGCCCATAGCTGGGACTCTAACCGGTGCTACCACCCTGTTATGGTCGCAGGAGTACCATATCTACTGCAACAATAGCAGCAGTGGTGTGTCTTTGGCAAGACAGCCTGAGAGAGTCCAAGCCAAGCTGGGACCCTAACAGGTGCTACCACTACAGGTGGACCTGGGAACAACAGTAATTAAGATGGTTGCATGCTCTAGAAAATCTCTTGCTGTCTGATGTAGTTTATCGTCATATCCAGGACATGGGATGCATGTTTGTGTTGTTTGCCTAACTTTGCTTGCAGCATAGGGTGGATTCAATGGCCTTGGTTGGCAGCCTTGTAATAGAAAGAAAACAGTGAATTTAAAACAGTGACAAGGTAATGGAGATAACACTTCATGGACTAATCCCCCTCCCACCCAGACGTCATGACAGTTCAAAAATAACACAGAAATAGAATTTATGGAGAGCCATGATTGCCCATGTCTTCTGGAGACATGACATTAAAACAAAAAAGTTAGTTGTTCTGAATGCATGGGAAAGCATGTGTGAATATAATAGAATGCTATTACAATATTTAATACCATAGCCAATGTCCATGAACTTTCGTTTTAGCAACAGTAAACCTAGAAAAAAATAATTTTAAAACAATTAAAAGAAACAGGAATAGGTTTTTATTTTTATTTTTGTCTTCATAGGATTGGCTTAGAGACAAACTTGTTTATTGCTTCTAATCATGTGAATATTATCTGAGAGACTTCTCATAAGACATCTCACACTTTCAGCTCAAGAGATAAACTCGATCAACCTGTACTTAAGGGATTTTTGGCTGAAGTGGTTGTAGCGATTTTAAAAAATTTTCCTCTATGTGTCCCCTCAAGATATGGGTGGTGCTTATGGCCATGTCATGTTGAAACATTCATTCCCATACAATCACCGAAGTTAAGTAATGTTGAGCCTCGTCAGTACATAGATGGGTGAGCACTTGGGAATAACAGGTGTTGTAAGCTTGGAGAAGTGGGTGATGTAATGGGTAATGGCTTGGAATTGTTAATCAGAGAGCTGAGTTCCAAATAATAATTGTCTCATTACTGTTCCTCCCAATTCCTGTTCTGCTATTCATTTATACAAGCTCATGATGTAGATTACTTAATGTTTTCCAATGATTTCTTACAAATAATACATATTCTATTCATATGAACCTATCCTAAATCTTCAGATCTTTCTGCTAACTGTTCTGTTTCAGATCTTTATATGTCTTATGATGAGTCGGAGATTGGCTCACAAAATCTGTCTTATGTTTAGCAGTAATGTACTCCGTGACCCAAGCCCTGACTTATTTCCAAGTTATCTGAAATTTAACCATGCAGATGTCATAGAAAGCACATCACGTGACTTGTCTTATCCAATCAGGTTCCAGAAACCAATTATTTAATTTTGGAGCTGTGTTTTGTACAGTATTGTAAAGTTCTTTTTTATCTACTGATTTTAGTAGTATTTATTTGGAAGTGTTTCTTTCTTGTTTTGTGCTTCACTTATTGGTCACAAAATATTGGAGTTTATATCATACTAGCAGCATGGCCTGGCGTTGCCCGTGCTTGATTCAAAAATCGTACGACTCATACAGCAATCGCTATCACTTAAAATATTTTTGCCCTTCCTTGCCTTTAAAGGAATGCCCTTTGACGTGCTGATGTTGCTACATGCCTTACTTCTTGCCTATCTCACACTGCAAATTTTTTCTAAGCTCTATACTAAACATTAAATCTGTTAGGAAAAAAGAACTAAACAAAATGAACACAAAACGATCAGCTTTAAAAAAGGACTCGTAACTGGAAAAAACTGAATGAAAAAAGAATGTTAACAACAAATACTTTTTCACAGCCAACCCAGTTCTGCAGAATCAGTTCCATGCAGATTTAAATTTTTCCCACTTGTGACGAATGCAGCTATCGATTTTTTTTTTTGCATGCTAGCATGCTAGTTAACATTCGTGTCAGTCAGCTGTTGGCTCTCATGCTGGCCAATAGAATCTTCCTGCCTATTCGTGGCAGCCAGCTATAGGATCTCACTCTGGCCAGTAGAAAATGGTTGCAAGCTACATGAAAACTGCTGTAGAAGCATGAAAAAATCAATTGTTTCCACTATCGATGGGAGTTGGAAAATTCAAAGTTGGTCTTGGCCTTGCTGCTAACTTGGTGCATGTGCATGTAAATTTTGGTGCAAATCTGTCGAAAATTGCGACCATGCATTCGTTACACACACACACACACACACACACACACACATATCCTGCCTTTTATAGATAGAGACAGACATCAGGCCAGATTTTAACTAGGATCAAAATGTTTGACATAATTCCAGTTTTAAACTAGTCAAAATGGTAGACATTGTGCCAGTTTCAAACTAAAGTAAAAAAATGTAGTCATCATTCCAGTTTTAAACTAGCGTCAAAATGTTTAACATAATTCCAGTTTTAAACTAATCAAAAAAGTAGACATCGGGACAGTTTCAAACTAGAGTAAAAATGATGCAAAGGTCTTGTTTACACTCGAGTCAAATATCAAATTGTTGACGTAGATCTGGTTTTCAATTAGTTTAAAAGGTAGATATTTGTTTCAAACTAAAGTAATAAAATTAGACATAAGTCTAGTTTTTACCTGAATCTGCAAGTATCTTTTTTTTTTCTTTTTTTAAAGCAATTTACCCCAAGCAAGGCAGGAGAGCCACTAGCACACAAGGGGGTTTAGAGGATTGGGGAGAGAATAAAGAGAAGGGCAGGGAACAAGATCAATGTATCAGAAGATGTCAATTGACATTACACTTGAATATTTGAAGATTACAGTTACCAGGGAAGCAACTAAGAGGAAGGGAGTTCTACAAATGGGAAGTGCGAGAGAAGAAGCTGTTTGAGAAAAAGAGGTTTTTACATTTAACCGTTTTGACAGTGAAAGGGTGGGACCAAGATGTCAGCCTAGTAGCTTGCTTAAATGCATGCAGTCTGGGAACCAGCAAAAGTAGGTCATTGGAACAGTTGCCATGAAAATTCTTGTAGAAGAGACAGAGCGAAGCCATGGCATGTCTGTGAGAAAGCGACTGTAGACTAGATGCCAGATCAGGAGTTATCACATTGTATATCTACTTGGGAAGTGGATGTTTTTTGAGTGTAAGCCTTACCTTTCTGTAGAAATGCAGTCAGCTTATTCTAATGTAATTTTTTAATATTTGCAAGAAGTTGGTACTAGTTTAAGGCAAATGGATTACCAATGTATTGAAATTTATATTTTAGTTTGACTGGCAATTAAGAGCAATTGTTTTGTTTGACTGTTAATTTTCTGGGATCTTTCTTTTAGTGTGGATTAGTACTCTTGTTGATTTCACCATTCGTTCTATTTTCCTACAGCAACCTACCCATTCTTATTTAAAAAAAAAAAAAAAAGAGAAAAGAAAAACAAACTCATTAATTGATGACCATATAATTCAGTTATCACTCTAACTCTGTTTCACTTTTCCTCGACTTCTTTTTGCCCGGGTATCATACCCTCAAGACACAAACCCTGCACTAGATCCTTTAATATACTCAAATAGATTTAAGGATTTACTACAGATGGTATTGTAGGAATGTAGAAGGAAACTATCTCTATTTGGCAGGACAAATTTACTGATGTACAAAGATGACATTGAGAGACACGGAACAGCCCATGGGTGAGGATAATCAGCTGCTGCTTAGATCACGACAGAGACCTATGTTGCAGCCAACTGAAGTTCAGCTGACTACGGCCATGGCACAATTTCTATGTATCTTAAATAAGACACAATAAATGAACTGTGCATTTCTTGGGATCATTATAAGTAATATCTTCTTTTTATTCATCCCCTTTCATTTGCTGTTTGCTTTTTATATGTGTTTTAATTTTGCTGTGTTGAACAATTTGTGAAACACACATACATATTTATGATAGGATAAGGAACAAATAAGAAACGTTTGTAAATTTAACATGTTTTGCTTTCAACAGAAAAGGAAATATGAGGAAGAAAAAATAATTCTGGTATTTTTATTTTTGTGTTGTCAAACACACTTTTATTATATTATCAACTTTTATAAAATCCATACTTAAAGAATCTAAGGTATGTCTACCTACAACCACAACAGGTGTAACTTAAATTCTTTCACTCTCACACAAAACATCTCCAAATCAATATATGGACAACCACCAAAGATAGCTGAAAATGCTTACTAGACATTCAAATGCATGCAGACGAATACAGATTATTAACCAAATCCCATATAGATAAACTATAATTATGATACACCCACACACATGAATTATACACACAAAGGCTGCTTGACAGGACAGATACACTTGAGGTATGCTTAACCAAAGAAAAGATAACAAGACAAAAATAAAAATACTAGAATTTTCTTTTCTCCTCCATATTTCATTTTATAGTGAAGCTTTAGGTCCATTATTATTATAAATAAATTATAAAATAATAATAATAATAATGATGAAAATTATAAATAACATAAAAACTTTGTATAAAATAAATCAAATAAAAAATTAAAATAATAAAAATTCTCCCAGCATGCAACAGTAACTGCTCCTGCCGAAAATCCCGTCAAAAGACATTGAATTCAATCTCTTTGCTATGAACCTTTGAATGGGCAACACTTATCCCAACTTCACTATCTGTGACATTGAGTGTAATAATATGGAGTGAATTCTCCCTTTCATCACATGCAACCATGAAACATTTGTAACCAAAAATACACACATCAATACACAAAAAAGATAAATAAATTGTATGAGATTAGTGTACAATTTGCCATGATTAACTGTTATCTATGAATGCTTTATTTTCTGCGATATATGATTTTATACCCATGTGAACACAAGGTTATTTCTGCTGTTATCATTTTGGTAACTCTGACGTGTATAAAAACCAACATCATTTTGATGATCACTGACATACAAAAACATATTATACACCACGAAGCTTAAATAAAACTGAAACATCTTAAATTTTTCCTTTTTGTTCTTCATCCTATCATTCTGTCAGATTCTAATTCATATATATTTATATATTGCACCTTAGGAATCAATTTTCTTTGGGTGGTGGGGTATTTCAGTTCTTCCATATATTGTGCTAAGTTATTAGCATATCATAGATATACTAATGTCTATAGTGGGCCTTGGAGTGAGGAAAAACAAGATATTTCTCCCCTCTTTCAATACTCCTTTTGGATTTAATTCTGGTAAGATGACATCCACAAACAACTCCAGTAAAATGCATACCTCTTCAATAGAAAACTATTCACCTACTTCAGAAGCATATGATCATGACATTCCCCTTGTTATTCATTAGAAATTGTTTCCCAAACTCTTTCTCTACTGCATGTCTAGATTTGAAAAAAATTTGTTTTATTTTCTTGTGTATAAAATAAACAGTTTCTGAAGCCAAAAACAGGGAATTAATTATATCTTTGAGTATAATACACCTCTCTGTTTCTGAAGCTAAAAATAGGAAATTAATTTTAGCCTTGAGTATAATACACCTCTCTGCTTCTGAAGCTAAAATCAGGGAATTAATTATCCTGGAGCATAATACACCCCTCTGTTTCCGAAGCTAAAACCACTGAATACTTGACTATAATACGCTGCTCTATTTCTGAAGCTAAAAACAGGGAATTAATTTAGTTTAATACGCCCCCCACCCCTGTTTCTGAAGTTAAAAACAGTGAATTAATTATATCCTTGAGTATAATATGCCCTCCCGGCTTCTGAAGCTAAAAACAGGGAATTAATTACATCCCGAAGTTTAATACGCCCCACCCCTGTTTCTGAAGTTAAAAACAGTGAATTTAATTATATCATTGAGTATAATACACCCCTCTGTTTCTGAAGTTAAAAACAGTGAATTAATTATATCCTTGAGTATAATATGCCCTCCCTGTTTCTGAAGCTAAAAACAGGGAATTAATTACTCCCGGAGTTTAATATGCCCAC